TTGCAGTTGAGCAGAATAGAGTTAGGGCCAGTATATTCTGTTTCTTAGGTTCTCTACGTTATGTGCACAGCCATTTCTAAGGTTGCGTTCTGAGTCGCACGTGCCAGCGCCATGCTGGCACCGCGACGGAACATCGTTTTATCAATACGGTGCACGTCCACGGCGCTGGCACGGCGCTGGCACTAGACCAACTATGGCCATAGTTTGAAGTAGCCTGTACATAGCATACTTATCTTACCCGTAAAATCTATGTCTTATCAAAAAAAAAATGTGCAGCAGACATTAAAAGCATCTACCTGATTGTAAGTGCGTTGGAGTGTGCTCAATAAAATTTTCTTTAGCACGTAAAGGTAGATCCGATGACTGAAGCATCAGAATAATGAGAGTGGCTGCAGCTAAAAATTGTTTTGTCTCCGTGCAATAGCCTTGCACTTTCCGCCTTTCGGTTTCAGCAAATTAACTAGAGTGCAAGGCGAAAAGCAGAAAAAAGTGGATTCCCAGCAACAGTAACCGGAGCCCCCACGTTTCCGTTTTCGCTTTCTCTCCAGCGGCGGTTCGTTTTTCTCTCCGTGCCTTTCTGCGGTTATTCTCCCATACGAAAGGACATGTTTTTCAAAGGGCGTGAAGTTGTTTTAACAGATCCGCAATCTGAATCGAACTGTTCTCTCGCGTCACATACACGATAGGGGGACTTCTCATCTTGATCGACGTCCATCGAAGAACCTGTTATGGTCAACTCTGCGCTCTACTCGTGATTGGGATCACTGCGCAAAGGACAATTTAGCGGTGCAGGGCCACGTAACCATGGTATCTGGGTGTTCATCGCCTATTCCAATGATACCAGCTGCTCGGGCGAGCGCTGCAGAAGGCTAAATCATTGATGTCAGCATAAATCATTTATAGGTTCAGTTGCGTGCTCAGAATTTAGAAGTGCGCAGAGTCTATGCACTTCTGACTCAAAGGCAAATCTTTTTGCAGAGTTATACTTGGACGCTGAGGGATTGCTGTAAATGAGTTGGAGAGCTAAAGGGTCGGGCATACTTTACGCGATTTCACTCTCGACGCGATCTGGCAATTCGCCAAAGTCTTCAGATCCAACACTAGCAAACATGCATAGTGTGTATAAATTACGTGGATTGATGTGCCCCTATTTTCTGTCCATTTGAAATATACTTGCAGTGAGTTATGGACAACTGGAATATTGCCAAATTGCGTCGCGACTGAAATCGCGTGAAGTATGCCCGGCCCTCTACAGTCAAAATGATTTTTGGCTTGCCATTAAACACAATATCCATAGGATCGAATTCAAGGCTTTCTTAAGAAACGCACATCTTTTGAGAGCAGCCGGACGCTTTTAAGTAGTGGACCGGGTGCGTCTATCGCGTACCCGGCTTTTTTTCATATGTGACGCCAGTTGTCATGTTTTCCTCGATTGTCGCCAAAGTCATCTCGGTGCCTCCAGTCATCTTTTGAATACTTTTCTCGGATGTAAGCGATGCCCATAAGCGCACGCATACGCGACGCACGAACGGTTCTCACGCGCTCCAGCGTTGATTCGCACTCAACCGTTGCATTCGCGCTGCTTCAAATTGCCTTTACAATTCCCGATTTTGTACTTTCAAACACCGGAGAATCACTGGCAGATTCTTCTCTATTTTTTCACATTCCATTCTGTCCAAGCACCAAGGAAATACAGACAAGTAACTACGCGGAGACTGGACGCAGTTGCGTCCTTCCAAGATAGTTCGTATTTGGAAGAGACAGCAGACGGTAAGAGGGATGAATGTGCACATGATCAGAGAGACGCGCCGACGCTGTCCGCATTGGCACTCTCTCTCTGCTTGCGATGACTCGCCTTATTTAGTAACAACTCTCCTGGAAGATCTGCTATAAGTGACCGATAATTTTGAATTCGTTACGTAATCTGCATTGTGCAATTGCACATGTTACGAAACCAGTCAATTATACAAGTCGTGTTTGCTGACGACAGTATTCGTCATCGCTGCACTGCCTCTCAAAAAGTAATTGTTCGCATTCGCATTCAGTTTCAGAGTAAAAGAAAGGAAATAGCTGATGCCGAAAAAATCAAGCAGCGAAGAAGAAGCAAGTGCAATTCGGGAAATCTGCAGATGGCGGAAATTCAATAACACGCTGCAAAGGCTAGCATTTTTCTAATTTCAATAATGCACTGAGTGAAAAGCGAACTTTTCGCAGAGGGATATGTACTACTTTTGAGACAGGCATTCAGAGATACAGAAGCATGGTTGATAAGATGTGTGCTTAGAAGATGATTAGCTCTAAAAAGAAACTTGCATATGCGCGCCAAGAATGAGATCCATGTAAAAACTGCAATTTCATTTAATTATTCCCAGCGTTTTGCCTGATATACTATTAGTGAGAAGAGTCATGACTTTCTCGCCTCTAATTTTCCTATATTTAACTGCGATAAGCCATGAACATTCACTACAATGATAAATATCAAGTATCATTAAGACTCCAACATCATTAACCCTACCGTGTCCGAGGAGTGGACCGAAAGAAAATTTACCAACTGCTAGGTATCTCATGGTCTTTTAAAACGCAAACGCTAGTATTTTTTTTGAGAGTATTTGCAAGGTACAGATTATGGCTATATTTCTGAATGCAGTCATATGTGGAGGAGCGCACCACTGGGGATGTCAACTGCTTCTGTTTTTTCCTTTCTAACCATGAAAATTGCACTAAGCGCAAAAGTTTGTTCACAGTGTTTGGTGTATGCAGTAGGTGCTCGAGAATTTTGGAGGTGAGAATTTTCTTCGACCACTTTATATGCTTACGTAAATCCTATGATTTGACCACATGTATGTTTGGACAAGGAATTACCATTTGATTCAACTGGCTTGGCTTCGGGAAGGCGGAGCTTCGTGACCTTATTAAGGCTAGGTAATGATCAGAGAGCACTCGCGCAACAGAGACACAGGTGCCTCGCGGGCGCCAGCGGCCTTAATTAGGTCACAAAGCCCCGCCTTGCCCAAGCCAAGCCAGTTGAATCAAAGGTTATGTAGATGTCTGGTGGTCATCTGGCACAGTACACTTAGAATCCCTATAGATAGAAAGAATATAATTCGTTGAACATAGAAGATTTATGAGACAACCTAGAACCTTGCGAGTGCCTCGCATACAGCCACTTCGATTATAGTATAATAGTTAGCTTTGAACAGAATTGCAAGGACGTCCGAAAACTTAAGTCAATACTGTAACTGTATGAAAAGATATAGATTCTTTTAGAAAATGACTTTCAGTGCAAGTAGTTTGAGAGGCCCCGCTTTAGTAAGTAAGTCTTTCCACAGCAGCTTTTTCACAGTTTGGAAGAAAACACTGTTCACAACAACTTTCTTTTGAGTCTTCCACTGTATTGTCCGGAGCTTTCAATGGTGCAAAACATGTACATCGAGAAAAAAGATGACAGTTAGTTTTTAACTCCCTTAGCTCTGCATGACAAAGTTATTCAGTCCTCCATCCGCGAAGAAATAGCCTGATTTACCGTTTCACTAGTCGTTCCTACAAGGAACCCAATTGCAAACGTGAAAGTAAGTTTGAACTAATTTAACCAATTCTTTCATTTTTCCTGAAAATCGGATATATACCGCCATGCAGACAAAAAGGTAGGAAAAAGCATCACGTGGTATGGCAACAAGTCGTAATCCCCATCCAGGTCCCTGCACATGTGCAATTTATGGGGGGCTTGTTATGCTTAAGAACATGTGTTCAATTTTGACAAATCATTTCGAGCCAAATGAGATGGTGTTTAGGTGGAGGAACGAAAATGAAGGTAAAAACGGAGGATGCCAGAAGCATGTTCAGAAATCTCGCCCCGAAATTCTGGGAAAAGTAACAAATTTGTCAGTGTTCGGGTCCCATTTTAAGAATTGGGCTATGGTTTGCACATATTTATGCTCGTGTCTATTGAGTTGCAAGTCATAGCGCGACATTATTTGACTTGGTAATCAAAAATAGTATTTTATGAAAGTTTGTAAAGAGAGAACCCTCGATTGATCAAGGAAGGCGTTAATAACATTTGCGAAAACCTTAGAAATGCGCTAAACTTCGCACCATGGGATAATTTGGCATTATATGGAAATGTTGAATCGCTTGTTTATAAAGCTTCACAGTGAGATTACTCTTATACCAAAAAGCCTACAATAACCACCCCCCCTTATGGAGCCGTTTGAGGACGTTTCTACATTTGAATAGCAATATCTGCCGTTCACTTACAGTAAGCCGACAAAAAGGCATTCCCCATGAGAAATTCAAGCTAAACCTGTGACTTTGCATCTATGGCTTGATGAAGTAACATCATCTTGAAGAGCACTGAAAGTCTCTGTACGGGGATCTTTGCGGATGAAGATATAGATTACTTGGAAAAAATTACAAGGCACAATTTAGGCTGTCAGTGCTTGCTAAAATAGGTAATTCTTTTTATTTTATTCGGGGAATTTCTTGAGTTTGAAACCCATGTAACACTTAGTATTGTCTATTAGAAAAGTTCTCTACTCTTATAGAATATACTACTTGGACTGGCCTAGAGTATGCTTTAGTGCCTAATGATGCCTTTGAAATGATCGATTTTTATCAAAGCTATGGACAGAGCAGAAGGAATTATCAATGACTGGACTCAAAATCACCCACAGAAAGTGCACCTTTAACACTCTTCATCTTTGACATTCGAATATTCGGGAAAGGCGATTCAATGAACTCAACGAGATCTCAGCCAAAAGTCTCGATAAGCGCATTGAATCTAATGTTCAAACCACATAGCGCATAATATTTTAATAATCAGTGAGATCTAGAGCACCGCTCTCTTCGGCGCGCTCCTACCTCTAAGACCGTGTAGTGAGATTACAACTCTTTAAGCGGACAAATGAAACTGATATGCGTAAAGATCTGCAATCCCAAGATAAAACAAATTTGACCTTGAGAAGGAGTATAAAATGAGCAGCAGCCAAATCTTCAACACCGTCATGACTTACGACGAGAAGCACTGGGAAACCGAGGCCGTCTCCCTCAGGAGGATCGCCTTCCTCGGGGTGGTTCTGTCGACTACGGCTACCCTGATCTGCGTCATCTCGGTGCCGATGCTCTACAACTATATGCAGCACATGCACTCGGTTATGCAGAACGAGGTCGACTTCTGCAAGTCCCGTTCGGGAAACATTTGGAGGGAAGTGACTCGTACCCAGGTATGTGCATTCTATCAATACGTGGGCACAGTTGTTTATGCTCCACCCATTGCAGGTTCTCACTACGGCTTCCAAAAGAGACCGTCGTCAAGCTGGTGGTGGCTGCTGCGGATGTGGTGTCTCTGCTAGAGGAGCACCAGGACCTCCCGGACCAGCTGGAGAACCCGGACGTGACGGAGGACCCGGACAGCCTGGAAGGAACGGACCAGATGGACCGCCAGCAACTCCTGCTCCACAAACCAACCCCTGCTACAACTGCCCCGCTGGACCACCAGGAGCTCCAGGAAACGCAGGACCTCGCGGACCTCCAGGAAATCCTGGGTCAGCTGGACAGCCCGGAAGACCTGGAAACCCAGGAGGACAAGGAACTCCCGGACCACAAGGTCCACCGGGAAATGCTGGAGCGCCAGGAAACCCAGGTGCCCCTGGCGAACCAGGAGTTCGTATGCCAATGCCGGGCATTCCGGGACCTCCAGGACCACCTGGACCACCAGGTCCTCCCGGTGCCGATGGAAACTCTGGTGGCGCAGGAACCCCAGGAAATGCTGGTCCGATGGGACCACCCGGAGACAACGGCAGACCTGGAGCTGCCGGACAGCCAGGTACCCCCGGATCCAGAGGAGAGGACGGAACCAGTGGACAAAGAGGGAGTTGCGACCACTGCCCGATTCCTCGTACCGCACCAGGATATTAATTTTCTCAGCATTGTCATGTTCCTCCTGAATTGGAGTTGAGCTTCGCAATAAATTAATGGAATCATCTGTGCATTGTGTTCCAAGAAATTGTTTTTCTTAAAGAAGGGTAAAGAGGAAAGGAAATAAAGCTGCCTAGCTCTCAACACCAATTCTAAAAACTTATGTATTTGGAGGAAACTTTCCAAAAAAATTCATGCCTTACTTATGGCTCGAATTTCTAGATACATATTTCCCATACTATCATCATGACTTACTAAGCCAACACTTTGCAACATATTCGCGATGCTTGAAATCTTGTGAACTTTTCCCAAGGCCATTTTTCTAAATCCAAAAAAAACTTTTCTCCTAGTAAAACCTACATTGGGAGAGAACACATGCAAGAAACCTTTTTTACCAGCATTATTGTCCAGATGAACATTTTAGATTATATCTTTGGCTTAGAATGAACGAAACGGCTGCGAACAAGATGTCCTTGTCGGCATCAAGGGAATTTACTATCGCAACAACGAGATTTCGCCTTTCTAGTGTGGAGGTCAAGGCCAACACAGTTTCGAAAGAAACACGAAAAAGTTATGGCAGACACTTCGCAACTGTTTCGCGAACTAGTGCACTCAACTGGGACGATTTCAAGGCAAGTGAAAAAACTTTTATTTGACGAAGAAATGATGAGTCTACATTAAAATAAGATGCGGGACTGCTGGAAATAGCAAAGTGGCAGCACAATTTCTGCAAAAAAGGCTTAGATGGTGCAAAACTGCTGTAATTTTGAGGAACAAAGTAAAGCAAAAATTTCATTTACATAGAAGAAGGGATAGCTGACCACTACTATCCGTAAATGAAAACGCAAGAAAATCAAAAATCACATTCTTTGTTTATTTCATTTTTTCCGTATTAAAGTATTACTAGATCGGCACTGAGTCTTGCAATTTTTGTAAAACTTTTTGCCAACCAAATTTTGACGTAATATAGTATGGGCTGTTATATTTGAGCGACATAATTAACTAGAGATAATTTGTAATTTTTCAATATACAAGGGTGTCCCAAAAGTAAGTACACACTTTTTAATCCTTAATAACTCTCCCTCAAAATCTTTTGTTTTGAATCAACTATCATTCAGAAGAGCAGGATTCAATTAGATTTACAGTATAGAGCGAATCACCCATTGCTCCTCACTACTGTAGGAGTAGGAACTTCCAGCATAAGCGCCATTGTGAAATAAGCCGTTTGAAGAAAATAGTTTCAGAAAAATGTGAAAAGTTGTGTATCGATGTTTTCAGACATGCGGATTTCACAATACTTTTCACGAGTTTCTGAAGCGTTTCGGATAACTCAATCGCTTTTTGAAAAACGATGAGAAGACGTTATTGCGTTTTTTTACCCCAGTTTAACATAACGGTAAAGTTTTCAGCTTGCTAAGTATCCATTCTGGGGCAAAATGTAGCCACTAATGGCTCGGAAGCTCTTCAAAGTTCTTACCGCAATCCTACAGTAATGGAGAGGTACGGGTGATTCGCTCCATACTGCAAATCTAAATTGAAGCCTGCTCTACTGAATGGTACTTGAGGCAAAGCAAAAGACTTCGTTGGAAGAGACTTATCAACTACCAGATAGTGTATACTTACTTTTGAGACGTTCAAGGCAGCAATGTAAAGTTCTCAGTCATTTATCAGGATATCGATTGTAATCAGAAAGAACAAATGGAGGTCTGAGAATGTCACATACGAAAATGAATAAGATGCTTACACGGGTTTGCAAAATATGTAAGAGCTAAGGTTTTTTGACAAAGCCTTGATTTGCTGCAAGGAACGGCTCTATAAGGCTATAAGGAAATAAAGACGCAGTATAAGTGTTTTCAAGCAAATCCGAAATCGATTCTTTTGAGTGGCTCTAGGGAATAATTTGTTCCAGCGCCTTCAAGTTTGAACATCGCTACTTTTTTCAATTCAAAGCGAGAAGTTTCTTCAATAATTACTACCTTTGATACATTCATAGAACTTTTGTCATTAAAATCTACTTCTGTGTTCTTCGAATCCCCATTGTCCGGAAACGGAAGAAATCCATTGCGCGCAACAGTTCAGTTCATGACACAGTTTGCAGACAATACCGATACGCAACGACGGAAAATTGAGAGCTTCGTAAGTGGAAAAAAAGTGGGTAATCTTTTTTTTTCGCTACGCAGTTCGGTGATCATGGGACACTTTCCGACTGTAATTTCCTTACACCGGACAGGATACAGTTACCAAAATGTGCACAACGAACAAATCATTGAGTGCTTTGAGCTCGATTGTTTATGAATTTTGCATAATGTTCTCAAATGATTTTCTGCTAAAAGACGGCCAGAATAAAAAAAATGTTCGAGGTCTTAGTGTTTGGCGCGAGAACAACAAATTGATTCGTATTCGTGTTTGAAAACTATTTAACCCAAAGCACAAATCATGAATCCAGCTCCAATGTCATCAGAACTATTGCATGTTGGTCATCCCTTGATTCTTCAGTGTGTAAAAAAAGAAAGCCTTGTTCCGATCCAATTTATACGGAGGGATAGAGAATACGGCGTCTTTAGCCTCCATAGATGTGCCTTACGCGTTCCATCTCACATTTCTCAAAGTCTATTGGACGTAATTTTCAACAAATTTACGGAGACAAGGCAAATTTTGAATGGTGTAGTATCAATTCTTCGCGCAAAGTTTAGCTTTAGAACAGAAGAAAATTATTGTTATCGATTAAGAAACTACAGCAACATTTCATATCTTCAGCATAGTCTGCATATCATAGAAGAAGTAACTACCAGAATTCTTAAAGTCTTCCTTTTCAAGATTAGTCAAGCGTGCACTGCTTGAAAATGGCTTAGCCTTGGAACTCAAACGGTAATAGAGATGCTATTCTAGCGACATAGAACGCAATCGAGTTTTAAAACCTAAAAATGTGCTGCCATGAGAAATCAACGTTTTAGAACATGAAGGTACAATGTAACAATGACATGATGAGAAAGCGAGTAGGTCTCCCCTCTTCTTTTTCTACTCTCTCTTATTCCTTTTTTTCGCTTTTACCTAATTCGTCTGTCACCTTTGTCATCTACTCTCTCTAATCTAATTATGCTTCTTCAACAGTGTAAAGTCATCCGATAGAATTGACAAGAGGAAAAACAAGCCTTTGTAATTCAGGATCATTTTACCACTAAAATGAACCTTTCCTTTCCTCATCGATCGAAGTGGGAGAAGTTGAATATTACTACAAAATATTGCACAGTTTCAGTCTGAGACTTCGAGTCAAGTTAGTGAAAGAAAGCTCTTGGTATATTCTTTTAATTCTATTCATTTGTTCTCGCGGTTTTATCGCTCACTCAAAAACGAAGACTTTTGAGGGATTTATATGCTTGACGGTTTGAGAATGGCAGGTGATTTTATCATGCGTTCAGCTTAAGAGGAATGAAGGCAAAGCCAGCACCAACGAGGAATTTGTCAGATAAATTAACGAGAAACAATGAGTGTTTCGATAAAACAAAGCGCAGCGATTCTTACGAACACCTACCGGACATGGCTATAAAAGTGAGCGAACGGTGAACGAAAGGACAGTTTCATCTTGCACTGATTGTAGCGGTTCTTATGCAGTCTTTTGCAGCCCATTTGACCAGCCAGGAAGAAATATGTGAAAGAGAAGGATGCCTTTCAGAATGCCCAGATAAATCATAGGTTTTTTCTTGATTATTTCTGACTTGACGCCACTAGATGTTGCAGTACCGTGATTGTAGCCCTTTTTCGTTTCTGTTCCCATCCAGCCCTGCAGTATTAGATGGTTCTATTGCTAGATTAGGAAAAAATGTATCAGTTGATATCTTTGAGTAGACAGAAGTTGAGCATAATTCTTTGAAAGAAGCGTAAGAATCAACTTAACAATGAGAAAGAACGCTTTGAGTATTAGTACCCTATTTTCAGGTGTATAAGCCGCACTTTTTCAAATTTTCGCCCGGGCTGCTCAGCCGCTTCATTGTGTTCCGAGAAGCGATCCTTATGCCACATGATTCTTTCAGGCAATACGCAGCACGGTGTAGGGTCCTTTGGTCGCGGGGTCCTTTGATGTATTCGGGCTGGTCTATTTAAGCTAGGACCACCCCGCGGCTTATACACCTGAAAATAGGGTAAGTTGTTACGTTATTGAGCACATCTTGCAGCAATAAAGTTAAAATCGGTGCGAGTTCAATTTTATAAGAACTAAAATTTTCCATGTGTTCTAGAGGGAGAGATCTATGCGCTTCTTCGTGGTGCTTTTGTAAGAACAAAAGTCAGCATGTGGTGGCGGATACAAGCTGAAAAAGGGTACACTTGAATTGCACTTTTTTGAAATCCTAAAATTCCTCATAGTTGAACTAAATCTTGAATTTTATCTGGTCTTGTTTTATTACCTATTCCCTATCTAGGAAAAAACATTCCTGGCGATCGGGTTGCTCTCCGAATAGTTATGATTTTCGTGTGTTTTTTTCAGTTTTGAGCTTGTTCTTAATCATTTTTCCAACATGTATCAAAAAAACAACGCGAAAGATCAGCATAGAGGTTAATCAAGAGGTGAAGAAGGATGATGTGGATCAAGTATGAGAGAAGAAATGAAGAGATTTCAGGTAAAATAGAAATTTTGGATTCAGCTTTTTAGATATGGATGCTTGCAAATTTTGTAAAAGATTTACGGTAGTAACAGTTGTTCATCAATGCTTCGTTTCAAAACTCGCGGTGATACGCGCCCCCATTATTCTTTGTTCGTTGTCGAAAAGTGAGAATGGTGAGAGATAGGTGAAACTGACTGAGTAATACGACCGGTACATGAACGAGTATTTACACTGAGTAACACGTAACCTACTCTTTGATCATCATGTTTATTGATTTTCTTCCATAGAAGGGATGATATATACGAAAATATACGAATTTACGAAGAAACATTTCGAGTATACCGATAAAGGCATAGAACGGGTTTTTTTCCGAGATAACCATTTAAAACCTTCAGTCAT